ACAGCTAAAGGCGGACCAACAAAGTATTAGAGTGAGTGACCTTTTTTTTTGGCCAGGTAGTGTATTTTCAACGTGTTGAAATGTGTGGAGTGGAAACCTCTGTGAGGTCCTGCTAAATGAATGTGAGTCATTTTAAAAACAGCAAACATGTAAAAATGTTGAATTCTCTGAAACCTTCTGGCTGAAACAGAAACTAGAGTTTTTATTTTCTCTGGCAGCTCAGCGGCCGACCATCGAAGGTCAAGCTGCGCGTTCAGCGGTGAATGAGGAGCAAAGCTGCAGACCTGGACAGAAGGTCGGGGCGTCACATTTAATTACCAAACACACACAGCTTGATCTCCATCATCCATCTGCTGGAGGCAGCTCCTCAGGACCAGCAGTTCTCCTCCTGAAGGAGAAGAAGGAGGCCAGCAGAGGTCTGCTCTGTCAATGAGAGGAGTCCTTTAGCCCCCGCTGTGTGTGTTAGAGAGGGAGGGTGTGTTTGTAGATGAGGGTGGGGGGGTCAGGTCTTCATCTGTGGCCATCAAAGGTGGAGACAAACAGAGGGAGCGGCGCGCCGCAGCGATCTGGCAGCAGCACCAAGATAACGGCGAAGTCACTGAGTCCTTGCTGCCCAGCTGCTGCCTGGCGAGGGCTGCAGAGCGGGAGGCTAATGTCCTTTATTTTTAGGATCATCATTAATTACCAGAGACGGGATCTGCTTTGTGGAGGCGGCCATGCTCTATTTCATCCCGCAGTCAAACTAACAGAAAATTGTTGTTATATAAATAAAGATACATAAATATTTTAATAACTTTGCTGTCATTTAACACTGAAAAAGGGATTCATTGCTTCTATTTCCATCAATCATTTCAGAACGCAAACAAAAAGGTGAAAGGAGGTGAAAGTTACCAATAAACTGGCAGAAACGGCAGCAAAGTTGACATCTTTGTTAGCATCACAGTATCGGTTTTACTCTCCTGCTTTTCTGGGTTTGATTTTTGCATTTTTGACGTTTTGCTGAGGTTTGGTCAGGAAACTTCCTCCTTACTTCCTGTTTTATCCGTAGTTCTCTTGAGCAGCGTTTCAGCCGTTGGTCTGCTGATTCCTACCAACCTTTGCTTGGTCATGGATCCACCTTTAGATTCTGCTTTCCTGCTGTTCCCTTACTACCAGCTGGTCCCGTTCATCCCATAAATGCCTGCTTTTTAGTGCCGACCTTCTCAGCATTTAAACCTTTTAAGTCTTTATATCTTTTCTCTGTTTGTTCTCCAGATGAGAAACTTGGTTTGTTTTATATATTATTGACTTTATTAACAATCGACAAACATCTGATCGTTGATTCATGATATTTTGTTTGTTTTTAACACATTTATATCATGGAGCAAAACTTCCTGAATATTTCAGCCTGTGAGCCTAAAAATAACAAAGCAGCAGACTGGAAATCACCTGAAGATACAATTAATTACTTTCCATTTATTTAAACACCTCAGCTGAAGAAATTTTATTAGAAGAAGAAATAATTATTTTAATCATTTAATTCTCCCTTTAAATGCATTTAACTTTATAATCAGACATTGAATTATTTATTTCAGCGTTTTACAGCTTAATTCAATATTTCAATCATCTATGAGATCAATATCCAAAGAAATAACTGTTACACCTGCTGATTTCATGACACATTTATAAAGTATTTTATATTTTTTCCCAGATGTGCCTCAGGAACCACATGACAACGATGTGAAAACTGTCTGCTGACCCTCAGGGGCCCCGACCTCGACTCTGGGAACCTCTTCCGTACTTTTCCCTGCTCACAGTCGACATGTTCACAGCAGAGCTTCTGGTTCTTACAGGAAATATTTGGAAAATAACTTTTAGACAATTTAAATGGAAGCAAATCATAAAGAAGCTTCCAGACAAAGATTCACTTTCAACCCGAAATAAAACAATAAAACCTAAAATAAAATCTCTTTTTAAGCGAGTGCAGTTTGAGGATCATCTCTGCAGGAACCGTCCCCCCCGGTGGACGTCAGCAGCCGACATCCGAGGGGCTGAATGGACCCCCCCTGTGGTGGGATCTGATTGTGGCGTCTTTAGGAACGGCAGCAGTGAGCTGAGAGGAGCTAATGAAATGTTCCTGCGGTTGAAAACCTTGAGGGACGGTTTGGAATTGGAGCTCTGATTAAAAATCACTCAGAAGTAGAAGAAATGAGGAAAGACGGGGTCAGGTCCAACTTTCACTCTGCCTTTCAGACACAAAAACATTTAAAGTGATTTTAAAGCACTTTGCTTCTTTCTCTTTTGACCTTAATGTTACTAATAAATCCAATCAAACAAAGACTTTACAGCTTTTTCCTTGCAGCTCTCTGTAATTTAAATACAATTTGATTAAAAGAAAAGTTCCCGTTGAGCAATAGGAGAAAGAAAGAGCCCCACATTCCCAGGGAACCTGGACCCGGCTGCAGAGAGAGCTGCTCCATTTAAACAGATTGATGAGCTGCTGAACGGAGCACATCTTTCCAATCCCAGGACAAAGACTGATCGGGGGGGGGGGCATGGCTACCTCTCCTTCCTGTTGGCTGGATGGATCACCTGTCGCCACCATGGCGACCGCTCGCAGCGACCCAGTGGTGTCTGTAATATGAAGGCCTGCAGGCTGGAAGGCTGGGAGTCGCAGTCACACGGACGACAGAAGCTATTGCTGCGCACAACAAAACTGGAATTGCTGCTAGCTGGTCCATACCCCCTCCCATCTATCCATCAGCAGCTTAGGCTGCTGTAATCTGATGCAGAGGGTCGGTAGACTGACAGGAGACGGGCCGTCCGCAGGGAGGCGGGCTCAGCGCTGCTGCCAATCACAGATTGATTATCTCCTGCTGCAAAATAACAGAGGTGCAGGTCTGTCAAAATAGATGGACAGGTCCTTCCTCTGATTATGGAGGAATAAATCGTACAGCGATTGGGGGGCTGCGGCCCATTCTGCTTCATGCAAACTGATGCCATCGATGGCGCTGACGCTCTCTCCTGACGTCGCCTCCTTGTGGCTGCAGTCTATTGTCAGCGGATGGCGTTCCTTTATCCGCCTGTCACACTACGCTGTGTCTGCCGCGTGTTTCAAGGCAAGAAGATGAGCTGCACTGAGCCAATGACCAATCAGCATGCATCCCATCCTGTGCTTCCTCAGTATGATGCTTACCAGGAGCTTATCTGGAATAGACAAACAGTTTGGAGGCAATAATGTCACATTTCTAAGACGCCGTATTGAACAACAGGAACTATTTCCAAGAGCCAGCAGCCTGAAACATTCCAACAATCATGAATGGGTCTGAATCGGCCCCTCGCTGTCACGGCTCAGAACAGAGGACCCAGTATTTAAGGCAGACAGACGGTCAGATATCTCCAAAGCTCGTTTAAAACCATCGATCTGCAGTGAACAGCGTCTAAGGCAGGAACCTCTGCAGGAGGAAACAGGTTAGTGACCCCGTCTATCTGCTGGAGGATGATTATGAACATGTGAGTCACTAACCTGGGCCTAAAGTTCAGTCTGAGCGCAGAGGGTGAGGTTAGTTCCAGCCGGTCGGCTGCCAACGAGACGCGGTTTCATGTCCAGAGAGTCCCAGACGCTGAAGTCCCAGAGGACGGAGGACAGGGAGGAGATCAGACCAAGCAGAGGAAGGCAGGATAATCCAGAGGGCCAAGCTTAAGCCGGTGTCCAGGACGTGCTCAGGATTCAGAACCAGGAGGTTAGAGATCCAAAGAGGTTCCAAAGGGAAATCCAGAACAGCGTCAGGAATCAGTTCCAGGTTTGGTAAACAGGAAGAATCCAGCAGGAGTCCGAAGACAGGTCAGTCAAACAGATCAGAACAGGAAGGCTCAGAGGTCCAGAGGCAGAACGGGTCAGACAATCAGTAACACTCAGATATGCTAGATAACCCTCACCAAAGGCTTGACAATAATCTGGCACTGATGACTGGTTGACAGCTGGTTAAAGAGAGGCTGAAAGAGGTGGATCAGATGAATTGTAATGAGAAACTGGGCGGAGCTAGGCAGGTGAATGAAATGAGAAATCAAGCCAGTCAGCAGTGCCAAGATCACGACCCTCCCATCAGTTTATCCGTCCCTCAGGAGCCAAAAAACGTAGAAATGAGACGATAAAACGAACAGAGAAGCTGAAACTGTGAAATTAACAAAGTTATAATACCAGAGCAGCGTCTTCTATGCACATAAAATGAAGAATTCAGAAGTTTCATTTATATAATTGAACAACTTGGTCACATGGCAACAACTAACGCCTTAATAAAATCATAAACTATTAATAATATCTGGGGAATATAATAAATCTGTAGATCAGTGGCGTCCAGATTCAGTCCTAATGGCGGCTATCCGCCATGATGGATGAAAAACAAAAGCTACGCTGAACCAGAAGGAACTACAATCTTCCTGGAAATGAAGTTATAAAAAAATTACTGAAGTAAAGACACTCAATAAAAGTACAAACGTAGATTAATAAAGTAAATATATTTTGCTGCCTACCACCACGGATTAAATGTAAGCTGAGGAAAAGCCTTCAATGTAATCCAGTTCCACGTAGTCTGCTGTAATCTGAGGGTTCTGGAAGCGAACGTCATGTTTGTTGGTGAACGCCTCATGTTAGCATTGAAGCTTCTTATAAATAGGCTTTCATTGGCCAGTAATAATATTATATCCTCCTGCTCTGCAGAGGGTTTTATGTTGTGGATCAGACTGGAAAATTTAGATTTCTTTTATTTCATATATTGAACGAGGTTTGCTGCTTTCAGGAGCTCAGGTTCATCATTAACTTCTACTTTGTAGACATGAAGGAGTCTATTTTTCAATCTTTCCAGGGAAACAAAAGGGTACAAAGACTGATGATGATAAGAACTAAAAATAATAATATATATATAGTTATTCTCAGCAAATGTGGATCTTTTACCATGAAAAGTATCATCATGAGGGAAAAAGTTGAATGTTTTTTTATCTCAGCCTGGTAGCAGCTTCACCTGGTCTGCTGGTCTTGAAGTTTAAAGACTGGAACCCCCCAGTGAGAGCCGAGGAATCGATGACATCAACGCCATAGTCGCTGTGGCTCTTCCTGTACAACATGACCGCCACGATGAGGATGACCACGGCGAATAATCCTGCTCCCAGGCCCGAGTACAGAGCCACGTCGATGGAGTTCTCCATGTCTGGGAGGCAGAAGAAAACAGAAATACATCAATTCACTTCCATTTATTAAAGTTACGGCATTAAATCTGACCGTTTTTAGTCATATGTTAAAGAAAACCAGGCGTGTTTATCTGTTTATGCCAATAGTGGAAATATGTGAGTTTAGGTTGAGCTGAAGTCAGTGAGAAACGTGGAGGTGTCGACTCCCAGCGAGGAAAACAAAGGTGACCTCTGCAGATCCCTCCTCCTCTGTGCTTATGGTGAACATGAGCTGCTGGAGGCAGAGCTCACCTGAAGTGTGGGAGGATGAGCTGCATTGTGGAACGGAAACATAACACCAAGTTTACTGAATTTATGCAGAGAATCTGAGGAAAGCAGATCATTATTTTTCTTTCTAACCGCCGATAGATTTACTGATTTCATCGCTTTGGACCAATAACAGCATTAATTCATGGGGACATGATGGTGACATGCAGACAGGAGAGAACATCCAGTTACACCAACTGGTGGAGAGACTGGTCCAACGGGTTTAGATGGGAAGGCAGCAGGAGTCCAGCTTCTTAGATAAGATCTGTGAAGGTCACATCAGGAGGTCGGCTAAGAACAGGACAGTGAGAATAAAGCCACTAAGAGCAGAAGGATAAAGCTGCAGATGGTTTGATCCACAGGAAGGAACCACGTCCTGCAGCTGCAGATGGTTTGATCCACAGGAAGGAACCACGTCCTGCAGCTGCAGATGGTTTGATCCGCAGGAAGGAACCACGTCCTGCTGCTGCAGATGGTTCGATCCGCAGGAAGGAACCACGTCCTGCAGCTGCAGATGGTTTGATCCACAGGAAGGAACCACGTCCTGCAGCTGCAGATGGTTCGATCCACAGGAAGGAACCACGTCCTGCAGCTGCAGATGGTTTGATCCACAGGAAGGAACCACGTCCTGCAGCTGCAGATGGTTCGATCCGCAGGAAGGAACCACGTCCTGCAGCTGCAGATGGTTTGATCCACAGGAAGGAACCACGTCCTGCAGCTGCAGATGGTTTGATCCGCAGGAAGGAACCACGTCCTGCAGCTGCAGATGGTTTGATCCCCAGGAAGGAACCACGTCCTGCAGCTGCAGATGGTTTGATCCGCAGGAAGGAACCACGTCCTGCAGCTGCAGATGGTTCGATCCGCAGGAAGGAACCACGTCCTGCAGCTGCAGATGGTTCGATCCACAGGAAGGAACCACGTCCTGCAGCTGCAGATGGTTTGATCCACAGGAAGGAACCACGTCCTGCAGCTGCAGATGGTTTGATCCACAGGAAGGAACCACGTCCTGCTGCTGCAGACGGTTCGATCCACAGGAAGGAACCACGTCCTGCAGCTGCAGATGGTTCGATCCGCAGGAAGGAACCACGTCCTGCAGCTGCAGATGGTTTGATCCCCAGGAAGGAACCACGTCCTGCAGCTGCAGATGGTTCGATCCGCAGGAAGGAACCATGTCTTGCAGCTGCAGATGGTTTGATCCACAGGAAGGAACCACGTCCTGCAGCTGCAGATGGTTTGATCCGCAGGAAGGAACCACGTCCTGCAGCTGCAGATGGTTTGATCCACAGGAAGGAACCACGTCCTGCAGCTGCAGATGGTTTGATCCACAGGAAGGAACCACGTCCTGCAGCTGCAGATGGTTTGATCCACAGGAAGGAACCACGTCCTGCAGCTGTAGATGGTTCGATCCACAGGAAGGAACCACGTCCTGCTGCTGCAGATGGTTTGATCCACAGGAAGGAACCACGTCCTGCAGCTGCAGATGGTTTGATCCACAGGAAGGAACCACGTCCTGCAGCTGCAGATGGTTCGATCCGCAGGAAGGAACCACGTCCTGCAGCTGCAGATGGTTTGATCCGCAGGAAGGAACCACGTCCTGCTGCTGCAGATGGTTTGATCCACAGGAAGGAACCACGTCCTGCAGCTGCAGATGGTTTGATCCACAGGAAGGAACCACGTCCTGCTGCTGCAGATGGTTTGATCCACAGGAAGGAACCACGTCCTGCAGCTGCAGATGGTTTGATCCACAGGAAGGAACCACGTCCTGCAGCTGCAGATGGTTTGATCCGCAGGAAGGAACCACGTCCTGCAGCTGCAGATGGTTTGATCCACAGGAAGGAACCACGTCCTGCAGCTGCAGATGGTTTGATCCACAGGAAGGAACCACGTCCTGCAGCTGCAGATGGTTTGATCCACAGGAAGGAACCACGTCCTGCAGCTGCAGATGGTTTGATCCACAGGAAGGAACCACGTCCTGCAGCTGCAGATGGTTCGATCCGCAGGAAGGAACCACGTCCTGCTGCTGCAGATGGTTTGATCCACAGGAAGGAACCACGTCCTGCAGCTGCAGATGGTTTGATCCACAGGAAGGAACCACGTCCTGCAGCTGCAGATGGTTTGATCCACAGGAAGGAACCACGTCCTGCAGCTGCAGATGGTTTGATCCACAGGAAGGAACCACGTCCTGCTGCTGCAGATGGTTTGATCCACAGGAAGGAACCACGTCCTGCTGCTGCAGACGGTTTGATCCACAGGAAGGAACCACGTCCTGCAGCTGCAGATGGTTTGATCCACAGGAAGGAACCACGTCCTGCTGCTGCAGACGGTTTGATCCACAGGAAGGAACCACGTCCTGCTGCTGCAGATGGTTTGATCCACAGGAAGGAACCACGTCCTGCTGCTGCAGATGGTTTGATCCACAGGAAGGAACCACGTCCTGCTGCTGCAGACGGTTTGATCCACAGGAAGGAACCACGTCCTGCTGCTGCAGACGGTTTGATCCACAGGAAGGAACCACGTCCTGCTGCTGCAGATGGTTTGATCCACAGGAAGGAACCACGTCCTGCTGCTGCAGACGGTTTGATCCACAGGAAGGAACCACGTCCTGCAGCTGCAGATGGTTTGATCCACAGGAAGGAACCACGTCCTGCTGCTGCAGGCCTCCCAGTCCAGCGAGGTGTCTGTGCTCCTCTGGTCTCTGCAGGCTTCAGACATCAAACCAGTGATGGAGACAAACCTGCAACAACTGCTTCTCTTCTGTTCTTAATAAAAACCTAAATATTGTTACTTTTATTTATCCATTTTATATTGCATTTATATTGTAAATACGTCTAGACGTTATTTTACCTCATTGTGTCCATCTAAAACTCAGATATACTGCTAATGGATCTTATTGCTGGTAGCGTTTAGCCTGGACACTGAGATAAAGAACAAACTGCTTCCCAACCTCAAACTAAAAACCAGTCAGTCGGACGTCCAGTAAAGTCTTTTCTAGATCTGAACTCTAATTCCTGACAGAAATAAATCCTTCCAGGTGATACAACGTCTTAATTTCTGGGAAAAGGAGGAACATCCTTGGTGCATCTCATGCTGCACAGAGGTGGAAGGGTCATGATCTGGGCTGGTTTTGCTGCCCACAGTGAGTTGGTCTGTTGGATAACAGGACAATGATGGTCTGAAAACGGCCTAGTCAAAGTTCAGAGCTAAAACACCATATGAAGACCTACTGTAACGCTGCAACAGAGAAAAACACACAGAAAATAAGAGGGTTTGTTCTATTAATAAAGATCTACAGAGAGAGAAGGACATGAAGTGGAGCGGCGCAGTAAAATGGCAGAAACAAGACGACCGGAAAGATGGAAAAAGCAGAGAAACAGGAAGAATGGAAGAACTCAGAGTTTGAAGGCAACAAACTTTTTACTTTCAGTTTCAACTTATTCGTTCATTTTGCTTTTAAATTCTCCAAACTTTAAATTCTGCATTTGTGGAAATTAGAAAGCTGCATTGTTCCACCTAATGTAAAAGTAGAGGTGACTTAATAAATGCAGGGACTAAACTATAAATCCTAAACTTCTCCTTTAGAGCTTATTGCTCCTTTAGTGGGAAGATTTTCATCCACAATCGACCCGTTTGACCTGATTTAAGCCAGTTTTGTGGTTTTGCTCGGGAATCGAACCCTCTTTATTTCAGGGAGGGAAACGAGAATCTAAATAAGTCTCTTATTTTTTCAAAAAAGTGATATTTTTTTTTTATTAAGCAGGTAAATTAGACACTTTGACAACAGAACACAATTACAATAAAAAACAACTATTAAAGTCTCTTATTTCAAATGTCTATTATCAAATATCTAATTTTAACAGATTCCAGATCATCTCAATTAGGTTAAAACACTAATTTTAAAGACAATTTGACAGATTTTTGGATGGTCAACCATCAGGCTGGCGGCAGCTTCACTCTGAGTCGTAACTTTAGACTTAGATAAGAATCATAGAAGAACCTTTATTGAACAGAAATGTTATTTCAAACGGCAGCATCTCTTCAGCAGCAGCTCGTTTCGCTAAAGTTCTTCAACCAAAAAGGACGTTTTTGGTTTTTTCTTTGCATTCAGCAGCAAACATGGAAGCAAACCTCCAGCCTTGTTTTCCTCTAACTTGTTAAAAAACAGAAAATATGGTTTTCCTTTTGCAGCATGTGGTCAGAAAATGTAGATTTCTCTTCTTTCATAAATTGATTGATGCTTTTTACTGACTATTAAAAGTTTTCACTCAGTCTGTTTATCCTGCAGGGCAACATAATCCCCCTGAGTGAGGCTGTTAGTAGACAAGAAAAACCTTCTTCCCAAACGAACCAGATTCTTTCTCAGGTTTATTCATAATGTTGCTGTTTAACCAAAGTGTCTGTAATTAGTTTCTTTTATTCTCAGTAAGGAGGAATGAACGCTGCTCTGATCAGAACAGGGCTGACTACCGAGCATTAAGCGCCGTATGATGAACTGTTCTATAAAATAAAGTTCTAACTGGGTGAAATCAACCTCTGTTTATTTAACTGGGGTGACTGGTTGAATACTTTTTCCCACTACAAGCGTTACAGCAAACTAGCTTTATGACTGATTGATAAACTGACATTAAGTTGATCATTAGTGCGAAATGGAAACTATAGATGCTACTAAAACTGTTAGCATTAAACGTTGGTAAACGGCGCCTTTCAGCGCTGCGTT